CCCCAAAATAAAACAGTATTTTTTATTTTCTTAATAAATAAATAAGAAATACAATAGAATGTTTTTCAGGTTTATCATTAGAGTGATCAATAGGTATTGATATATGAAAAAAGGCTATCCATGTATGTATTGAACAGAATAACAACGCACAACTGCTTATAGAGTTAAGGTCATTGAGATGAAGATATTGGAGAAATTGTTAGAAAACATGCTGCTTTCAGATAAAAATATGCTTCATACTTGTCTTTGAAAGATAAAAGTATAATATTTGCTTGCCCTAAAACTAAAGCACTCTCAAAACTGTTTTGTTATTCTTAATGCCCTACCTGCATTGTAGATTTTGTACACTGTTTTTCACAAGATTGACTAAATTGGCAAAACATTCATATGATTCTATAGTGTGTTGGTCTCACTCATCATAGCTCCAAGAAATGATTATTAATTTTCAGAAATTTTGTGAATCAGTTGTTAAACACAGCCAGTATTAAAAAATTAAATTGTATTGACTTACAAGTAAATAAATTATATTAAGAACAAAGGGAACAAATGCCTAAAATCCATTACTTTCTAACTTATTTTTGCTATATTTTACTTTTACACTAAGTCTACTATATCTGGATATTAAAAATATTATATAATGGGGAGCTGTTGTATGTCTTTGCAAACCCACATTAAATGATGTCAAGTTGAAATTGGCCTTAGTGGGAGTATTTACTCCCCAGGCATAGGCAAATGTTACACACCAGGGATTTCCCCCCCAGAGATCCAGATTGTAAATATTTACTTGCACACTACTACACAAGGTTGACTAAATCTTGTAAGATTTTAATTGAAAGTAAAAAATTTTGAAAAGATAGGGTCAACCTTAATATACATTTATTTACTTGTCTGACACAAATGTCATAAGAAAATATTAATTCTAACTTTATATAACAGATTTAAAGAAACAAACACACATATTGATTATGCTGGCGTAATTTATGGAGAATATGCATTGGATATTTCTTACCTGCTAAACAGGTTGTAAAATATATTATCATAAGGTGACTGACCAGAAACCACATTTTCATCTTGTGTTCAGTAGATGTTAGATTCAATTTTCAAAAAAAAGCTTTAGCTTTATGGCAGTTGGATAATATTAAACACCTGCATCAACAAAAGAAAAGAAGGACAAGGAAGGAAAGAAAAGAAAAGGAAAAAGAAATGGAGGGAAGAGAGGGGAGGGAAGGGAGAAAGTGTTCATCATTTGGGACCAACAACATTATCCATTTATTATATTTTATATTCCTTGTTTGCAGAATAAATTTTAACTTAATTAAATACATTTGTAAACACCACGCTGTAATGAAAAGAGTAGATTCCGCATCAGAGGGCTTCAGCTGACATCCCAGTATTAACACAATATGATCATGAGCAAGTCACTCAATCCGTGTGTGTTTAGGTTTCTTTTCTTCTTTAACCACCGAATATAATAATCCTTTTCTACAAAC